CTTTTTCTGGTAGGTAGCCGCGTACTTTTTAAAATCTATTTTAAGTTATGCTCGACTACCAGTTTTCTCTGCATTTTGTTTGCATGTTGACTTTTTGTGTTGTTTTATGCCAGAGAACCAAAATAAAATGATGAAGATGCTTGCTTACAATTTTCTGCTGTCTGACAAAACGCTGTCGTTTTCTTCAGTGACACTTGAGGTAGTTTCAACTAAAGAGTCTGGGGGCAGATCTGGTTGGATCCCTGACAATCCTTTCTCACTCTCGTCAGATTCGCATGTCTCTATGTCAAATGAAGTATCTGGTGACAGATCCTGTTAAATTATGATCCAAAGGTAAAATATGGTATAAGTAATCTTTACCTCACAATTTGATGGTGCCTTTTTGTTGGGCGATAAGAATCTGATATAGGGTCAGGGTATTCATCAGTTGGTCCATCGTCTCCATGAAAATGCATGATGGAACGCATTGCTTGTATGAAAATTTATTTCATATGAGAATTAACATATTGAATATATATTAGGTATCGAAAACAGCATTAATGTTGGCCTACCTTGGTACACACGTATGTATTTCTGGTGATTTTTCCTAGATTGAATTGACTGTGAGGCCTGTTGCATTCCTTCATCCACCTCATTACTTTTTAGCGGTCAATATGTGGCTTCGGAAATAGCACAAATCCTACTCCATTTGAACGACAGGGGTACCGTACCGGTACAGGTTGTCAGACCGGCAAATACCATATGCGCAGCGTTTACACATAGTTAGTCTACCATAATAATCCACTAGTAGATTCTGTTTAATAAAAATGCAACATCGTATCGAAGGTGAATTCTTCCGTACGGACATACGGTAGGCTACCGGTACCCTTGATTGCATCAGCATGACTGTCTACTATTTTTCGGTTCGAAATAGCAGTTGGTTGACCTGTACGGTACCGTACCTGTAAGGTGCCTGTAACGGGTACAGCATTTTAGTATAGATATATAGATTTCGTGAACGTGAGTTGCAACAAGTAGCATACAGTATTACCGCTTTCTAATTCTCGCAGCCCTGTGAAGAAAACAAAAAGCGAAAAAAGAAACAGAGATCTGCCTAAACCGCCAGCAACCTGTGCGGAACGCGTCCAAAGTTGTCTGAGCGACTTTTCAGCGGAGAATGTTTGTTTACATCTGCTACATTTGAAAATCCGGATGTTTTGATGTCGGGGAAAGGACCATTATATCCGATCCCCAAGTATTATTCCGCTTTCAATCACTTCTGCTCTATTCTGCATTTGAAACCAATAGCTGGTTGACAATTCTCATACATGACACAGCGGGTAACAGGACCAGAGCCAGTGGTTCGTCATATGGTCGTAGTCAAGTTTATTTTATTATGAAATATTAATATACAATGTTTAAACGTATAATATGGAGTTTTACTGGGGAAGGGAAGTCGCGGGGAACCAAAGCTGGTTATCAAGCAGCCACACCCCGGATTCGGATATCTATTGAACATTAGTAAGGTATGGCATCTTGATTGTCAAGTCAACTCGTCATATCAAATAATATCTTTCCCAGGATAAATATGAAAGTCCAGGATATGAAAAAAATAGATGTTGATCTATCAGTTGCCACAGGTTTATGCGTTTTGTACAAATAACCAATTAACCCAATAAACGACATGGACTGGTAACCGAATGAGAGGCTATATTTTGCCATATGATGAAGCCTTCGCATCGACTTTTCTCTCACACGGTATAAATATGTAAATCCTATAACCATCAAGTTCATGCATCTGAAACAAAATAACTGGCTTACCAATACCATATCTGACAGGGACTGGTTCCCGGACGAGAGGCAGTGGTGCACCACATGATTATTGGATTTTACCCCAAATCCAAGTATAAAAGTTGATCATTGATTTCTGGATCATTTAATTTTAATCCTAAGCCAGGCCTATCGAGACTTGTCTCAACTTTGGGAAGGTAGAACTATAGCATTCTGAACATTGTGTTGTTATTGTTATGAGCATCAAGAAAACAAGAGAGCTATGCTCAAATATATGGACACGTATAGCCACATAATTTTGATGACGTCATAGCGAAAAAAAGTAATAGCTTTCTGGAGAAAAATTATATCTTTAACCATTGAAAATGTCAAAACAATTGGTCCAGTCATCAAATAGAAAAGCGATTTCTTCAAAACGTGTCAAAGAACAACAACAGGCCTAAGAACAACATAACAACAAAACGATCACTATGTCCACTACGTGTCCACTAATCAGTCCTTCACTATTGCTCAATAGTCGATTGATATTATTCAAAACTTTTCAGGTTCTATTCTACTTAAGTGGGAGATTCGCCGCTATATTATTCCTCCCATAGGTAGGCTACATATGGCGGTAGACGTCTCGCTACAATAGCATCCATTTTCAACGTGACGAACTGCCAACAACTACATTTCTAAGAGATGCATTGCTGCTGGTTCTTTCGACATCATTCGCTAACTTTTTTTGATTCTCTAATTTCTTATAGCCAAGGTTGCCAGCATCACCATAAAAGTCTTGTCATAATAAACATGCGGGTTATCGGAAAAGGGCAATTTCAGGTGCTGGGCTTCGGATTAATTTTTCATATTTATTTAGGAGGGTAGTAATAATAAAGCGACTTAGCTTTAGCTATATGGTGAACGATGGCCTCCCGTCTAAACATTAACCCAACTGAATAGTCTTCGATTTCATCAACCACCCTATCAGGTAAATTCAGCTAGTCTCTCACACAGAATCATACCTCATAAGAATCAAGCAGTGCGTAGCTCGTAAAACTTAGTTGTAGGCAATCTTGGACTTGGAGCCCGGTCTTATCACACTGATTATTTATTATACAGATGCTACAACAATTAACAAAATGTCACACAGAATTGAAAGAAAATAAAAATCATAAACATTTCTCGACTAGACATACTTAATAATCGAAATTTTGCACATTCAAGCACAAGAAACAATGATAATTCAATAAGGAATTAATATCATTTAATATTCACTTTATACAAGACGAACAACTAGACTGATTGGGAAAGCAGATTTGCATGAAAATAATCATTTCTAATAGGTGTTTTTTTTTATCCATAATGTCATACTTAAAAGTCCCAATAGCAAGACAAAAATTAGAGATAATATCGACTTGACTGGTCTGTAAGCGTTCAGAAATAAAATTTTTTTTTGTTTTTAGCCAAAGATTTCTATCTTTAATGAGCTATACCGCATCAGGTGTCAGACATCGCACACAAACAGCACTTTTAGATTGAAATTACACATCTATCAAAGACAGTGATTCTCAAACTTTATGTGTTTACGAACCCCTTAGGCTTCTCTGAAGTAACTACGGAATTTTTAAACCTAAAATGCAATAAAGAACATAACATAGAGCTATGTGAACAACCTTAAAATTAGCTGCTACTCCTCAGGTACGCAACACATCTAAGCAGAACAACATAGAAATCAAAATAAAAGCTAATACTTCATATACTTTGCCCGTGAGTACTTTAACACGAATCAGTATTCACTGGCATGTAATTTTACACTATAATGTCGTATGGTCTCAGTTTCGGGGCTTCGTCCCTGGGGACGTAGCAAGTAATTTTCGAAGGGGGGGGGTGAAATTTCTATTTGGCAAGTTAGATCAAAATCGTCCGGCCAAACGAAGGAAAATGTGTGTTTCATGAGTCTTCAAGGTATAAAAAGCGTTTCGTGCTCTGAAAATTGCTATGTATGATACAGCAAGATGCTTTTATTAGTTTACATTTCAAAAAGAGGGTTCCGACCCCCAAAACAACCCCTTGCTATGCCCCTGGTGGTCCCTCATACTTTCGTAGATCAGTCTCCTTTATTCCTGGGTAACCTGAGTATTATTTTTTTTTGTTAATTTCAATTTTTTTTATTTTAAAATTACGGAAAACATGAAAAAACAATTTTATATTTGGGGAATACATAGAAATTTGTTTTATTTTTTTTTGCTGTTTTTAATCTTTTTATATTTAGGAGATACATAGAAATTTTTTCAATTTTTTTTGCCGTTTTCAATTTTTTTTAATTTTTTTCATATTTAGGAGATACATAGAAATTTTTTTTAATTTTTATTTTGCTGTTTTTAATTTTTTTCCATTTTTTTTTATATTTAGGAGATACATAGAAGTTTTTTTAATTTTTTTTTTGCTGTTTTTAATTTTTTTCAATTTTTTTTTATATTTTGGAGATACATAGAAATTTTTTTAATTTTTTTTTTGCTGTTTTTACTTTTTTTTTTATTTTTTTTATATTTAGGAGATACATAGAAATTTTGTTTAATTTTTTTTTTTTTGCTGTTTTTAATTTTTTTTTTACTTTTCAAAATTTGGAAACACATGGATTTATAAAGAAAACCTATTTGCATTAGGAAGGATTAAGGGTTGGATAAGTTGAATTATTTATGCGATTGTTATTCCATTCCAATACAGCAAGATTAGGTACAGTTTTGTCAATCATGATAAACAAGAAATGCTGATAGCAGTAAATGAAAATTTAAAAGGCTGACATACACAAATCAAAAAATGGAAATTTACAATAAGCATTGCATGTCATTGTAACATGTATTGCAATTATAATATAAATAGAATTTATAATTCACATCTGTTGTTACTTTACATAGAGGAGGGGACAAAGTTACACCGGGCTCCAGCAAAGTTCTCAGATACTAATTTTCTCTCTCTGGTTAGGAGCATTATGTCAAACCACAAGGTGGAGTCAACAGTAAATAATCATCACCCAAGTCCAACATTTATTATAACAGCCATTAATTCCCAACCTACTTAGTTTATCACTCGTTATGGGTTTGCAAACAAATTTGCAATACTAAACTTCATAGGGATGTTTTAAAATATATAAACTCAGTATATACCAGCAGTTGACAGGTTAATTTGAGAGACTCTTTGGGTAAGATTGCGATAAATTTTGAAAGATTGCAGATAGATAGTAGGTATTACAAACAAATTACATGGTAGAATCAGGCCACCCCACTAAAAAAGCGAGGAAAATAGCAACAAGTAACAGAAGTACAGCAATTGTGAACAGCAGTTGATTTTGCCCCTGAAAAAATAATAACTTTAAATTTCATTGAAATTAACTTTCATTGGTGAGTCTAATTATCAACTTGGACTGATAATGAAATGATAAGTTTGGTGACTAAAAAATACAGTTTTTCGTGTAATCAACTACTGATATAAGGATTATTAACAATCAATATTGCATTTACCTGCTGTAATCCTTGTTGACTTGTGTGTACGTTTCCTCGTCCCATTATGTGCACTTGTTCCGAATCCCCAAAAAAGTTGTAAATTACTGGTTGATGATCTGCACGAAAAGAACAATGTTATTGGAAATACATTGTCAGGCAATTAATGTTTCATTTTTCATCAGTGAAATAATGAAAAGGAAGCGACATGATATGGTTACCACTGACTACAGGATTAATGGTCATCGATTAGTTCATGTATGAAATAGGACATAAAAATGAATGTTCTCCTAACGATGTATAGCAAACAGAGGCAAGCTCTATACAATGCTGGGGTTTTTTCAAAGGCATTTTGATATGGACAGAAAAGTGAATTTTCCAGTAATGCCCTCAATTACTCACCTACTTGTTCTAATGGAAAATCAAAATCACGGTCGCATATCTCCTGGTCATTACCATATTTAATCATCTCATATCTGATTTTACTCCTGGGATATTCTTCTAATTCAGGGAGAAGACGGAACATGTAATCATTTCTTTGCTTTCCTAGAAATGTTTTGTCTACTCGGAAGGTATAGCCATTAAGATAATTGAAATGCAAGTCTTCTTGTTCAGGATCAATTTGGAGATTTATGCGAACTCTGTCTCCAGTTCGTAGTAAGACTTGGGGAAGTGGGATAGGAGCAAGTTGCCCTCTCAACTCTTGGAAGTAAGATATGACATGGCTTCGAACAGTCTCACAGCATGTGAAAAATGCAAAATAAAATTGGTTTTTGTTCAAAATATAAAGACGATGTTCCATAAGAAGCTCCTGTGTTCCAAATATCAACCACCTGATAGCGGCCATAACTCGGCTGAACTTTCTGCATCGAAATTCTATGCTGTTATCCTCTGTGATTCGATCAGGATTAATATTGTCCCAGTCAGTTTTACTTGAAAAATGTAATATGTCAATTTTGTCTTTATCTAGACCGATGCACCATGACTGGATTTGCACAATCGCATCTTTGAGGAATTCTGAATCTGCACTGATATCGAAAACTGGTGCGATACCAATGTATTCTTCTGGGCATAGTGAATTGTCAATTCCAACCGACATCCAGACCTTTGTTTGTTTGTTGAAAGTTCCAATAGGAAACGTGACTTTGCATTCGTTCAGTCTCATGCAGCCACCGGCAACTTCAACGTTTACCACTAAAAAAATAGATTTGTTTTATAATGCGACAAAAAATAAATTATAACAGGTGATTATAACAGTTATCTAAAGTACCCTTTCAATGTCATTAGGATTTCCATAATTATTCCAAAAAGGGAGTTGACATGACGTTTCAATTTTAGGGCAAACCACGGCCCTTGTTTGATTACCCGTCCATGTCCGGTATGGAAATAGTTACCCAGTAATTTGTTTCAGATGCAGGAAGCATGAGAAGATTGCTAATTATGGAAATAAAACGCAAGAAGTAACTTGAGCAGGAAATGCGTTGGACATAAAGCGAAGCATACTCAGTTCTAATTTTAAAATCATTTGAACATTTGGCGCAAAGAAAGTGAAATATAGAACTGGGAATGCGACAAAATATTTGTCACCATAAGTTGCTAGAGTAATTCCTTGTGTAAAGTTAAATTTTCAGTCTGGTATCCAACAACTTATCCACATTTAGGAACAGAAAAATAATTCGACTTCATAAATTTAGATTGCTTGTATGACCAGAACACAATATATTTTGATGAATTGAAATTAAAAAAGAGGGATGTGTTTAGGAGCCAGTAAAGTAGTGATTTGTGCATAATTATTTCACATGACAGTTTAACATAGTACAGTCAAACGTCAGTAACCAAATCTTGAACCACCACAAATGTGAGAATAAAAGCACTGTGTCCTGGTCAACAGATGTAAATCATTTTCATATTACAAATTCATGAGACCATCTGGAACCACCGATTTTATTTCCAATTCTATGCAGTTTTATGTCCAATACGCAGTCCCCTCATAAAAAATTACACAGGTGATGAAAAAGTATGACGAGTGAGTGCTTTCATGCAAAGGTTGACTTGGTTTATTATTGCAAATGAGCTCTAAGATTATGAACAGAACCAAATCCTGTAAATGAGGCTAATTAATGAAACATCCATATGCAAAACTAAAAGGTTAATGGGGCCCGGGTTTTCCAAAAGACATTGTAAAGTGTGGCTAATTATATATCAGTGCCTCCATATGTGAAGTTATAAAAGGAAACACATATAGAAAGTTGATAGGGTCCAATGGAATTATTGAAAAGTTCGGATTCAGACCTGTCACTTAGAAAATTTGGGTTACAAGTACAAAACGCCCGATTCCAGAGTCAAACCAGAGTCTTGGCAAATTTTAAAGTTTGATTTCTAAGCAGAGTCACTGTCACAAGTCAAGTCAATGCAGTTTCGAGTCGCAAGTGGAGTCCTATGTCCCAACAGCTTTCTCACATAACTATGAAATATGTTACCCAATAATTCTTTTATTTTGCGTCAAGTCAAAGTTATTTTGAATGTTGAACTAGGATTTTATATTGTATTTACAACGTTAATGCCAACATGTTCACAGCCTATTTCGAATTGTAACAAAAAAAAAATGGAACTTCACCATTTTTGAATACAACATTGATATGCATGGCAAATCGTATTTAATTGATTTTTTGCTATTCCAATGACTTGCTTCAAATTTTTTTGAGGTCCTAACTAAGGTTGCTATGGTTGTTAGTCGGGTTCCAATGAGTGAGTTACTCAAGTATCCTCAACACTGCTGCCAAGGCGCACAGAAGACCAATTACCACTTTAAAGAAACAACATTGTCGGACGCAAATTGTACACATAAGTTTTCAGAATGAAAATACGTTTTTATAGGGACAAAAATGGGTTGCTACCTCACCTAATAATTAATGGTCCAAACTTACATTTAATAACATTGTTCGACGGTGTTTTTATGCCAGAGTTTCCCCGAGCATCTTTGGCCCAGACTTGGAAACGATATGTTTTACCAAGTGTAGGTGATTTCATTCTGTACTGAGGAACCTCTGTAGTGTGAGTCTCTCCGAGTTTTACATCATCGCAGAAGATTTCTATGTTGTATAGAACGTTTCTGTCAGATACTGCATCCCAAGTGAAAAGAATGTCGGATCCACTTCTTTGAGATGAAACATTTTCTATTTGATGCAAAGCTAAAAACAAATGTGAGAGTGTGTGACACCTTTATTGTAGCAACAGGACATTTTGAAAACATCTTGCGCATGTCAAAGAGTGACAAAGAGAGCACACCTGCAAAAGATTTAAATTTAAGAGTTGATCCGTCAAGCCATTTAGTGTGGCCCTCGTCAACACTCAGATTGTTCCCCATCAACAATGAAATCCTAGTCCAACAGTTTATGTTGACAGCTTTGACAAAGCGGATCCTAACAAACTATGCAAGAACTTGATGTTTCAAGTGTCCCACTAAAATATTACATAAACAGGATTTTTTGATTCTTTGTTTGTGTGGCTCAGTTAGATGTCCGAAGTTAGCTGTATGGCCCACCGACATAAAATGTTGCACACCCCTGATTTATAATAATTCAAATATTTTTCAGCACTTCCTCATAATTACAAGTATTTAGCTCAGCCCAACGCTACCTGATTCTATTAATATGGCTGACTTACTATGCTGAGTTGGCTTTGCAAGTTGTTCAGTTACTTCTTTATCTGTTTGTTCTGCTTCTTCTTCAGGCAGCAAGAGTTCACTTCTGAAAACAAAATTGGAGCATTCAAATATATTAATTTTGTCCCATTTTTGATTGGTTAAAATAATGGCTCCTATTACTCGATTTCAAAACCCTTTCTCCTTACCCAGGGTGGTAAAGATTGTGCGCCAGGTAAGGTATGGACTTCAATCGAAATAGGTAGGTAATAATAGTGTGATAGATATTAATAACCATTAGGCAAAGAAGTGCTAGAGAAATTTGCTAAGTGTGCCCCAAAAATTAACAGAGTTGTGTTAAACATAACTAATATATGATTGAATATTTTACATATTGTAATTAATATACATTTATTGTTTCTAATTTTAAATGATATGCATATGAGTATATATGCTTATCAACAAGCAAAGCTGAGGAATTTGTCGACTTGACATCAGATTTCAATGATCTAATTAAATTTTGTGCAAACACCCGTTTGGAATAGCCACAAGTGCAACCTCCTACCTACGTTGCTGGGTTTTCAGCAGTGGTGTCTCTCAATCAAAAGAACATACAGGTAACGTTTGGACATAGAGAGACAAATGCATGTGCATATCAATTATAACATAGTACTTTATAAAAAAAATGTGTTAAGAGCAGCAGCAGTTAAACACCTCTCATTAGATAAATAAATGTTGCATTTTATTTAAAGGCCGCAAGTTTCGTGTAAGCGTACCGCGGTTTTTATTCCTGATAATGTAGCGCCCTACGAACAAAAAGTTTGGGAACCGCTGCACTAGACCATCACTATCCTTGATAATTGAAATATAGGTGAGCATTATATATCATACAAAATACTGTTATGTCTAACCTGGGGCTTCCTACTTCTTGTAAAGTCTCCACATTTTCTCCAGTATTCTCAAAACTGTCATATGGTGATCCTGAGAAAGAATAATAAATATTTATCAAAAAATGATAGTATTTAAGACCCTGTTTTGAGCTATTTAATATTGTTTATCACAAATTATGATAGAATTTCCTATTTAACCTGAAAAAAGAAAAAAAGTCGAAAATACTGCTTAGACATACTGCGAACCGCAGCCTCTCATCATCTGGTTACCAGTTTATGTTTGGGTATGGGGTTAGTTAGCAAGTTACTTGTTTCATGCTTTTGAGACTCAGCAATCCTCTCGGACGTAATTATTCGCAACTGTGAACCAGAGCAAGATAATCAGAGATGTGATGGCAATCGTATCCATAACGATTGACATGATGCTTCGACTGCCAAGTGTGAAGACTTGTAAACAATTATTTTATAGTTTCCTTGAAATTGATTTTGCGTATTCTAAATTTATATTTAAACATATCACACAGAAAATTTTGTTTGATACTTCCACATTTACAATACACAAAAACACAAAATCAAAGATAAAAAATGCTTGATGACAATCTGTAGTAGTACCTGGTCAGTAGTTCTTAGTTAGTTCTGGCTTGCACGAGAGTATTTGTAACTGATTTGTGTTTAGGTATAACAATTATGAGTTTTCTTACTATTTGGAAGTCTACTGCAACTGTTTATACCCGGGGGACACTAAAATAACTACCGACTTTTTCGTACCTCACCAACTGTTGGAGAGTGTTATTGTGTTTGACCTGAATTTGCAATCTTTAAGCGACTGTTACATGTTTTCCAAGTCAGAATACATTTGAGTGTATTCGGTCAAGCAGACTATTGTTTATGAGGATTTGGAGAATACAGGCTGTAATAATCGTTTATGAGGGTGATGTCCCGTCAGAGCATAATAAGAAAAAGAAAAGTTAATTTTTAGTATCAACATCTGTGATAATGACCAACATGGAATGGTTAGTGTGGTTTGACCGATATTGAATGTTTTTGCATGGTTTGTGACAATTTCTCATGTGTCCCAACCACAATCTCCTCTTTCTCAGGTCTTTCAACTAGCAGTCTAATGATAGTTAATTAATATTGACCCAATATTTATCCAAATCAACAACTTCTTCTCAAAAGTACAGGGTAGTTTTCTATTGTCTCCTTATTTGCAATCATTGAATATTGTACTCACAGATTTTTCATTTTTCAGGACGTCATGATGATCGATTTAAAAGCTAGCTAATTCAACATAAAAGATGTATACATTAACAAAACTTGCAGACTGATAGATCATCCGTGATGAATTTGAACTGACCCCAGTGATTATCAATCTCGATTAAATTTCTTGCCTATAACCTCACTCAATCCTTCATTAACCTATATATTCCTGTAACCGATTTCCCTACCCCGATATAATATTGCCTTAATTAATTTTAATCATAATTACCAGTAATTTTATTGATTAATAGTATTTGAAATAATTTGGACGTTAATTTGGCTAGTTTGGGCTTCAATTTGATGAGTGAAGCAGGTCTAGCCCGCCTCTTCTTGCAACCAACTTGGCAATTCTGATTGGGCAATTTGGCATTAGGTGACTCCAATTATAATCAGCTTGACAATATTGTTGGCTAATACGGTATTATTGGTAACTCCTGTTGACTAATTCGGTATCAGATTTGGCAATCCTCATAAAATTAATAATGTGGTGTGGCCAATTTTTTTTTATTTTTTTCAATTTTTGTTTATTTTATTTATTTGTATATTTTTTTTTACTAAGTGGTTAATTTTCTTTCTAGTTTTTTTTCTTCCAATCTTATCATATCTCGGTAATTGGGTGTATGTGTGCATGTTTGCCTTAACTAGTTCTAATATCTTTGGGTGAGCGAACACGTAATACTTCTTTTATCAATACCTTTTCATCTAAAATCAACCATACTTGAGGTTTTGTTTGCTCTTCCGATTCTATAATCAGTTTTATTTGTTTTGATTTTATCAATTACTTTATATCTTTCATTATGCTCATTATGGAGTCGAAATAAACTTACCGAATACTTATAAAAACTGTGATCCAAGTGGACACTGTTTTGGAGTTGGCACAGAGTTACCACTACAACAATAATTATATTATAATAAATATAATAACAATTAGGCAGGAATTTATCAATGTATCATGCCATAGCACCACTCAATTTGAAAAAAAAATTTATAACTTACCAAATTCAGCTTTTGAAGTTGTGGTTGGAAGTTGTTTAGAAAAAACATTGGTTGTAGCATTTGCTGACTTTCTTTGACTCTTGAGTTTTGTGACATAATTCAACTGAATTTCTAGTTTCTGTAATGAATAAAGTTTTTAAATCAGATTAGCACTAAGCACGCGGAATCTAATAATTTCAGTGCTGGAATTCAATGCATTTTATCATACCATACTGTATGGAAGTGCTCTGCACTATTCCAAAAATATTTCCATTAATTGAGAAACTTTTAAATTTGCATACTTTGATAACTCACTAAACCGACAGTCCACACTTGGTAATTCATTGAAATAATTTTTACTGTAAAAAATTGGTAAATTCAATTTATTTTAAATTTAGACTTTTGCTTGACGAAACAGAAACACAAATGAATCTTACTATGCAATTGTTCGTTTTATCAAAGCACAAATAAACATAATTTAAAAAAAAGTAAATATTGAATATGTGCAACACAGTCAGATTGACCGCGATGACATTATATTTCAATGACTGCTTTAAAGAATTGAAATGACACCAGTGGAAATAACATACACTTCGGTGAAACTTAAAAATGCTCAGCTCAGCGTGAATAATTTAGACTTTCAGTTTATTTCAGTTCTACGCAAATCGTTGATTTTATGTATGTTCCATATTTTACATTTTGTTTATCCCAGAAAGAATTTCAAACCTCTGATCCAATTTCATTCAATTGATTCTGTAACATTTCTTTATCTTCATTTGCTATTTTCCATCTATCCAATGCCAACATCTTTGTAACATTAGGAAGCAGATTTGCAACTGCAACAATATCTTCATGGTTTGCAATACGCTCTTCTTTCATAAACAAATACTCTATCTGTTGTAATGAACAGAAACAAAGAACAATCAGACATGAATAAAATACATAACAATTGGGGTGGGCAAAATCGAATAGTTTTTTCGAATACACTAATTCGAATAAATTTAACAAATACTGAATAGTCAAATAACGAATAGTTTACAAACACAACAGGGGCCCAGAACGTCGGAGATCAATACTTACTTTGGGAATTATTGGAAACATTGAAAACTCTGCAATGATGAGTTTTTTTTTACTTTTCATCATAATCGCTGATTGTTTTTAATTTAGAGATGTACCGATGTATTGGTATCGGCAATATCGGCCATTTTTTCGGTATCGGCCATGTATCGGTATCTGTTAGATTAAGGCCGATATTACCGATATATTTACCGTTTTGATATGGTCCAGAATGTTTTAAAAGATAAGTTGGAATACTACTTTTTAATTTATTTTTGTCTGGAGAGATCGTGAGCTATGAGCCATACATTTCCCCACCCCTGCGAGAGAATAGGATTCACGTGTTTTTAGCTATTTATCAGTTAAACTAGCTCAACTAATTTGGCTATTTTCGCTGTCAAATTTTCATATTGACATTTTTAATATTACATAGTTTTTATGAAGAAATATATCAACACAGCACATAACAAAAAGCAACTAGGCGCCCAGTTTTAAAGCATACAGTGGAATTGGGGTCCTTCCTTATTTACGGCATCAACACAGCACATAACAAAAAGCAACTAGGCGCCCAGTTTTAAAGCATACAGTGGAATTGGGGTCCTTCCTTATTTACGGCACATGGACTTTTGGCACGGGTATAAATTCTGACTGTTTGTCGTCAAGTACGAGTGTCATTTAGTCCGTCGACATCGATAAACTAAATTCCGACACAATTATCCGACTACACAGGTATTAATTTTAATTCTGCTTGACTACACGATTTCTTTATAAATATATTGACTTGACCGCCTAGCCCTAGACTGTCTCAAAATATAGGATAGCAATTGTAAAATATAATAAAAAAGTGAAGTAAAAAAACATCCTCAACGGTTATCGGTGGGCCTTCTTTTGTCGGTGCTGATTGATATTCTTTCATGTTGGCTTTGACTTATTGCGTCGACGATTACGATTAGCCAGTAAATTAAATATTTGTAAAATGCTTTTAATTTGAACGTAGGACGGCGGCGCTAGAATGTGTGGGTATATTCGATATTCTTTTAAACACGAATAACGATATTCGAAGCTCGCGTTATTAACATTAAATTCAAATTGGACATCCCGGCTTATGAGTTTTCTAATTGAACACCGAGATTACTAGCGTTACTGTACAATGTATCTTAATCAGTTACAGCATATGGATACCAAACATTAATTTCATATTATGTGATATATATATCTTTTTTTTCGATCTGAAATATTGTGTACTATGAACAACGCTTAAAGACCATTGTTTTAACCCGTCTACCCTACACAGCATACCTAACTAAGTAATAATTATAGTATAGTCATAGTATCGGTATCGGTAATATCGGCCTTTTTGTAGTATCGGCGTATCGGTATCGGCGTTTTTAGCTGGTATCGGTATCGGCGGCAAAAGTGGTATCGGTACATCTCTAGTTTTTATCACTGCCATCGTTTCGGCGGTGATACCCTAAAGTTGGTGATATGTATTCCCTCCCTTCTTTTTTTTTTACAAGTATTAATTCTTGTGGGTCGGCGGGTATTGAAGTTTTATATTTCTGGCACACCCGTGCTTTCACATTGGCAACAGCTGTTAAACCATTAAGGACTATTTTCAAAAACCAAATTAATTTTATTCTGATTTTCATAATTTGCCTTGGCTTTCATCTGACTTAATACCGCCTGTAAATTAACCTTCCCAGTTTAAAGCGAATTACCGTAATGTTATTATCACATCGGGATGCAGATTTAGGCATTTATAAAGATGATAATTGACTTTCTTATGCTTTTCTATGGTGCCTGTGTTTCGTATTAGTATTAGATAGATAAACCTTGTAAGCGAGCGGTTGTGAGAATCCCAAATGTTGATTTAAAATAGTGATTAAATAAATCGAAAAAACAGGCATTTGTAGTGATCATAGGGCTTTTGTGGCTAATTGAGGGCTAGACGCTAATTATAACTATTTCCGTCAAGTTTTTACTTTTTTTTTCTCAAGAAAACAATAACCCGACGGTAATTATAGCTGAGAACATTATAGAGTAATTCACAATTTTATTTAAGGAATTTGCAAATTCAACACTTCACTTAACGATTTTGATGTCACGCCCTGAATATTATTGCAAAAATGCTTCAAAATACAACAATTGTAATCCTTTGCGATGAAATTCATGATTGATTTTACTCTTGTTTACACGCCGGCCATAGATGGTCAAGTAAAATTTTCACATTTTTAAAACATTAGTTGGCAAAGAATGGAAGGGATCACTGAAGAGCTTATAGAAAGTACATTGAAGGAAAAATGGCCTGTTATTTCTTATATGGTTACAACTTAAAAAGTGTTTTTCATAAAAGTAAATCATACCAGCTTTGAAAAACTTTGACTGGTCATTTTCAAATCGATGCTATTTTTATAACTCAAATTTTCTGACGACCTAAAATCACCTCTTTCAAAATGCAGGTTCTCTCAAATCGTCATTTCAACTTTAATTTTTAATCAATTTTATGGTCGGGTGATGCAAGAAACGACTAATAAAATGTCTCCAAGCATATGAAGTTAAAAATCTGAAGAAATTCATTTTGACGTTTTTAAATTTACTGTCAGTAAGTAGTAGAGTATAGTACGCAGTAGCAAAATAGAGTATTGAAACGATAGGTTAGGAGTAAAAGAAAGTAAATAACATCATAACGCAAAGACAACAACTTCTCACATTTGTCGCTTTTGTCTGTTAGCAAGTACGATGGGGGAATTCTCGTGCAATTCACGATTGAAATAAGTACGAGCGAGTTCCATGTTCAAGCAAAGCAGCACAGGTCACGTGGTACCGGATATTCGAATAGTAAAATGCCATTCGAATATTTTAATAATATTCGAGTCGCTATTCGTTATCCGAATATTTTGCCCAGCCCTAATAACAGTCATAGTCATCATAGTTTTGCCAAACCTATATTATTCATATTACGCAGAAGTGCATTGTAACATTAAAATTAGCCTGGTGTCAGAAGTTGTGAGTTTTCATCAAATAAGAAACAATAGTTTTCAAAATTCAGTGTTTTAGTTGTGCGGCATTTTTTTGTGGACAAATCAATTTTATTCAACAAATTGTTGGCCATTGTAATCAAATAAATAAAATATTAAATTAAAACTCAGAGTAGCATCGTCTAAATTGAAATTTCAAAAACAGACAAGCTTTTGTGACATTAAATAACCAGCTTGGTAAAATTTTCAAATATACAGGTAGGCCTGAAAACTATTATTAAGGAAGATAAATTTAAACTAGAAGAGGTTTTTCATCAATTTCATATTGATTATTCAAACTTAAAATTTCCTCAAAACCTTTCAAAAACGTTCATTTTGTGATTATTATTGTGTTATACCTCTGTGTTGCTCAAGGATGATTTGAAAGCCAGTAGTTGATCTGATGACAGGTTACAGTTGTCAAGGCCCAACCATTTAACACAGCATTGATTGGAGAGTATTTGTCCAACTGATGATAATCCTTCAACTCCCATGTTTGTGTTTCCTTGCAGGTACAAATTCATGATCTATAAAGAGACAAGAATAATTGATGACCAATAAAATCTATAAATGATTCTTTACTGAGTGAGCATTTTCAAACTGGAGGTAGTTTTTTATGTAAAATATGCTAGTAATATTCAATAGATGTTTTGAAAACAAAATCCAAGCTACATCACAGAATTAAAATCTGTAAATTCAGAATAGTTGAATCCCATGTTGATGAATGTTAACAACTACATGAGAACGGAGGCTTGAGAAATTATAACATCATTAATACTAACAAAACAGAACAAACATATTGAAATACTTCATTTGATAAGCTAATAGATTTTAGAGTACCCTATTTTTATCTTTTTGGTATTTGTGCAATGTTTTATGCATGGAGAAAATAATTATTCGAATCTGTATCTGTTATTATTGGTCAGTATGAGTTTTGCAGCTAACAAACCAACATTGCCTACCATAGACTATATGAGACGGATCAAGGTTCAAGGACATTATTGTTTGTTCTCAGCAGAAGGTGGAACACTACACTAGTAAAAATAAATAAAAATGTTGCAATTTTTTTTATAAAAATGAATTTTGTGAATCCTCGCAATCCAGGGGTATGCTCACATACTAAACGACATGTAGTTCTTTTATGGCCACAAAGTTGAATGAATAATATAAAACAAATAATTTTACATACTATTTACTTCAACAAAAATTAATTTAAAGTTGCACTAGTGAAGGAAGTTGCAATTGGTTGCCAAAAAAAAACTTTTTGAAATCGTGGCATGGGTTTAATTCGATAAAATGGCTGCTGCCAAGTTCTTACGATGTGATACCTTCCACATCTAAACTCATATTGAGAAACATTACAATACCAAATAGGAAATAAACAAAACAATTCACTAGAAAATATTTTTGTCTAAGAAACAAGCGACCCAAAAAGATCTTCAGGTAAACCCTATGTTGGGAATTCAAAAAAAGTTTACTATAGATCAGGCCTGGGTAATTTGCGGCCCGCGGGCCACATCCGGCCCGCGGCAACGTTTTATCCGGCCCGTGAGAAAGTTTCTAGATTTAGGACACTTTTTTCATCATTCACATATAGAATATACATTGGTTGCGAACAAAAGAATTTTTAGTACAAGGGAAAAGTCGATAATAACATTCGACTAAATTTCCTTTAAGTCGCCGATTGTTTTCGTCATCTCGAGGTGTTATTTAGAACGTAAACACCTTTACGTAGGGGATAAGTATACTCAAGTCACAAATTTTCCTCAACATATATATGTCTTGTATACGGAACTGTGAAACCATTGAAAAAAACGAGTTATCATATAATCATCGGCGACGAGATGCCAAAGATAAATAAAGGAGTGAATCTGCAAGCAAATTAAATCTAGATTTAGAGCGGCAATATAAAGTACTAAAAATTGAACAGAAACAAGTTATGATTCAAACGGCTCGCCACAGATTAAAAACGCTTTTGTGAAAATGGAAACTAAAAAATTTCTGGTGCCACGGCACACATTTTAATTGCGTAGCTTTCGTGGGCGCGATGCACCTTTTGATCAATTCTTAAACTACCGACGGGACCTGATTTATAAGATAATTTATGTAAGGTAAACCAATCGATTTTTATGTGACTAAAATGAATTTCACTCGGTGTACTTTTATCGCAGGCGTAGGGATTTTTCTGATGGTAAAATCTTTAAAACAGAGCTAAGTCAGTGTTTCAGGAACAGATCAGATTTGTCGAAATCACGAAATCGCAAAACACGAATAAAAATAATCTGGCACGTTACCTCACATTTTAATGTCCGCGGAGGGCCGTGGTATTTCAGAATCGTAATGCTTATATTTTATCAAAGCAGCCGCGGGTTAGGTTGAAAACAACAAAAAATTTCAATGCATTTTAAATATATCCGTATCGCAAAAATAGATATAGTATATAGAGTATATTCCGGCAGTTTATCTCACATTTTTAAATCCGCAGATAGCCGTGGTATTTTAGAGCAGACTTTTAAGCTCGCAACGCCTTCCAATGCATTAAATCTTCTGCGAACCTTGTTCACCTTAAAAATGCTATGATGACAGCAAAGTTATATAAATCACGATGTTTGACCACTAAAGGCATGGTCCTAATTCCGCATTTTTACTCACTTCCCACCATTAATGACAAAATTCGGCATTGTTATGCAAGCGTTCCGTTTCTCTGATCCAATGTATTGTCTCGGAATTCGCCTGATTTATGTTTTAAACTAGTTTTATTAAATGTGCTTTGAATAAAAATTCTAACAAAGTACAATAGATATAGTACTTATTTATATACTTACTTATATATAGCACGTATTTAAATGTGAAATGAGTGCAATAAAAAGGCGCAATTGACTCTACTTAGTCCGGCCCGCCACTGTATTTTGAATATTCAATGTGGCCGATACCAAAAATGATTGCCCAGCCCTGCTATAGATTGATCATTGTAACTCACATTTGTTCTATTGCCTATTGAGGATTTGAAAGCTTGTAGTTGATCTGACGACAGGTTACAGTTGCCAAGGACCAACCTTTCAACACAGGATTGATTGGAAAGTATTTGTCCAAGTGATGATAAACCTTCAACTCCCATGTTTGGATTTCCATCCAGCCACAATTGCATGGTCTATAATGAAACAAGAACAATTTAAGATCTTATTTAGAATGTTTTTAATCTTGTTGGGCAGATTGAAAAAAAATGAGAAGCTGCTCAAGATTCAGTTAGAATGGCAAAATTTCTTGGACAAAAAAAGAAAACAATTTTTTAATATTGGGATTGGAATAGCGAAACCAGCAACAAATCAAGCATAGGCAGTGGTTTTCACCCTTTTTGATAGAGCGCAGCCGACAATGAGACATTCTAGTGAGTCAAGAAACGTCTATGCAATAGTTTAATTGCCTTTTCATGGCCAAATTATTTAAATCATGAATCACAAACCTAATACTTGCAAAACAAAATGATCATATATCAAATATGACTAATCTGATAATAGTGGCAAATTTAGTATGTGTTTGGTTATATTTGAACAATAAATATAATAATAATAGACTATCGAATTGGATTTGAATGGAAATTTCAGAACCCCACGACCCTATAGGCTGGACTCAGGTTGAAATCCACTAACATAGGATGTGAAAACAGTACAGTAATTTGGTCTGATGTGTTTTCACTTATGTCAAGGTTGGATATAAGTTCAAAATGATAATCTGAACATTGAAGTACATCAATTATGTTCAAGCCACAGTGAGAAGATTTGGGTTAAACCAATGTCCATTTAAGTCAGTGTGTGATAAATTTACTAAACATTTTCAACCTAAAAGGTTGTGCTTTATAATTCGATGTTAAATAAATTTGGTAGCAAATAGTTAAAATTTACTATAGTTATATATCAGAAATTCTACCTTTACATTTGATTCTTTCAATTCAGATGCCAGGGTTTGAAGTGAGGCTGGCCTGAGATCACAATCTGTGAAATGCATTGATAGTGATGTACAGTAGGAAGCTACTGATCCAATGACATGAAGATCACTGATGGGGAGAGGATGGCCATACATGTCAATTACATCAAGATATGATTTGACAATGTCACCCATTCCATCCTTGGCTTCGTTCAATGCAGTGAAAAGTTCCAAAAGATCGGATATGTCTGATTTTGATATTTTATTGAGTTGTAATTGCAGACTTTTCTTGAGAATATCTCGTTTTTCTTCAAGATCCCTGATTTCTGTAGAAATATAGCAATAGATGTATACTGCTGATAATTGTGTGTTTTGTCTGAATAATATGTTACCATTCAATAAGGTTGATGTACAAATAATATAGTCGTTTATTTTTTTTATCAGTCAATGAAAGGCTAAATCTAGTCAGCCATAGTTAAGCAATGTATATAGTATTGGGTAATAACGTGTCGCACCTCATTTCATTATGTGTCAGTTCCATTGTTTGGACTAGTACTTATCATTGCACTTCAGATTCCCTCCGAGCTTAAAGCTTTAGTTGAAATCCGGTTTTTAAGATGTGTAAAAATAAAGCTCGGCTACTTTTCGTTTTACAATACAATGCGAAAAACGTCTAACAAATTTCAGATTAGAATCAAGTAACAAACACTCCAGCTTGAATTTAAATCCAGATTCAACATGGACAACACAATACCTTCAAGTAATTTTCCGGCTATTTCATCATAAACTGCGGGATTCAATAAAAATCCACAGATCATTCTTCTGACAAAAACAAAGTGACCGGTGTGAAGATGTTTATCCACGAACTTCTTGAACGATTTTAAATCCAGTCGGAGAATATAGAAAGATGTGAGCATTTCTTGAATACTTTGATGTTGGAAGTAAAGAATGTGGATTCCTTGAAAAAGTTTACGATATATTCCTCCAGGAGCCAGGATTGCTAGATCAGTTGCTTCCTCCGGTTTTAGATGAACTTGGCGAAAATCATCTTCTGTAAATAGAACTCGACGTTCTACTGTCCCAATGTATGATAGTTCTTCTAATTTTCCCAAAACTTCCAAAATATTCTCTTGGTGCGTGTGGGATGATTGTAAGATGCTTTTCATGACCACAATCATAATACCAGTCATAGTGTTTGGTTTGAAGGCAGATTTGAATTTCAAAGCTATCAATGTGTAAACAAGCATCACAGGTGTGGTGCACAGAAACAAGAGTAATGGAGCTTTGATTTTGAGAAATTCTATTATTTTCTCGGCCTCTTCATCTCCTTCATATCCAGAAATGATTTTTTTGATGGACTCCATTGTTAATCCAGCAAGTGCAATGACCTTGTCTGGTCGGACTTCTCCCCAATAATTTCTAATGGAATGTTCACGACTGGCCGATATAATGCGACACCCAGGAAATAATTTTCCAGAAAGAAAATTCCATATTATTACTTCAGGATATGCAGGCTCATCTAGACTGATGACTTCATAAACTCTATCAACTGTATATTGAAGAGTATCCAAAGAGTCGAGCAAAAACAAAACTTCCTCTGGGTGAATTTTTGCAAATTCAATTGCTGGACCTCTTTCTTCCTTTGACAGGTTGTTGAAAATTAGTTCATCTGCTGTTACTTTACTGTTTCTCTTATATTGTCTGCATTCTATATATGAAACCATCTTGATGGATCCTTGGAAATATTTTCCATGCATGGTATTTCTTGATGTGGCTTTCATGAGTGTGGATTTTCCTGATCCTGCGGGGCCCACGATACAGACATGACCTTGTTTAAAGTTGTTAAACAATTCATCAAGTTGAGTCTCATTTCTGATCCCTCTTTTTCTTTCCCGTTCTAGATACTTCTGTTGATTAGATGACTCTGGTACATAATCGTATGCAGGTATTCTTCCACCTTTATAAAAATTAATTTCTTCTAATTGAGGAGTGACATCCACATTTAGTTTTCTCTTAAAAACCCCATGAGGTTCAGCAAAGTCATAGAAGTCAGTGCACTTGTAAGTGTACTCATTGATTTTTGCAATTACTTTTTGATAAGACATCATGTTTGCTTTACAATATCATTGTTTAACATCCAGTGTATCGACCATGTGGTAAAGCTTCATAAAAATATATCCATGTGATGTGATATTCAATAATACCCTTCAACAATATCTTTAAAGTTCTAGGCTATAAACTTTAACTAAACCTGCTACAAATCTAACAGGAAAATATATTTTAACCAGATGCGATGAAACCAAACACAGATGTCAGCAAATCTGTTATGAGTGTGATGAAATATTCATTTTTGTGTGAACAGTTACAATTCCAAATATCTTTGTTAAATTTAAAAAATTGTTTTTAATTAACCTTCATGTGTTTTCTCTGAGTTCAAGTATTTCAAGCAATTTATTTTAAGACATTTTTCATGCGACACCCACTGTAAGCCTTGTGTTTTGTACAAGGCCCTCTATACAAGCAACTGCTAATATCTAACAATAGGCAAGAGACTACTATTGTTTGGCAGGATTTTTCCAGACCTACAGAAATCACCTTATATTGAGTGTTTTAAAAACAGGAAGGCAGAAAGGTTTATAAATCCAGTCTTAAACAGTGGGCCGATGAATAATCATGAAATGTTTGTCCGCATGAAGATAGGATAACTCATTCAAAAGTGAAAGATGGCTATTTCAAAGTGAGTACCCAATGACTGCTGACATGTCTGGATTTATGAAAAAACTTCCCAAATTCTCGGCATGTTATATAGTCATGATTCAGCTGCTTAACTCAGGCGACAAATCCAATTATGTACTACCTGTCAGATATTGTTGATTATATGAAACATCAAGTGTTCAAAAATAAAACTTGCATTATGTAACTAGCAATCGTGAATGCTGTCGATCATTATTTATTTCTATTGCAGGGTATTAATAAAATTCCATATGTTACTGATCGACTCTAGATTGAGAGTTTTACTTTTATGTAAGATCAGTTATGCAGTGTCTCTATATAATCCTCCTTTCTCCACCACATGGAATATGAATTGATTATATACTAATAAACTTTGTTTAATAAAGCTTCACCTAAACACACGAAAAAATAAAAAAAATGACATAAAAAGTAGTTTTAGATTTGTCACAGGTGTGTCTTTGTCAATTAGTAGTAATAGGCTGTGGATATCCAAGACCCTACCAAGCCAAAACTACTAATAGTGACACAAGCAAAAAATAACTTGGGAACTAGAATTTGAAAAGGTGGGCCAGTTTGACCTCGAATATCCATGGCTATGTCACCTGGCTCTAAGCAAAGACATAGAAACCCCCAAAATGGGGATGACACAATTTTATTTTATTTAATACTGCACCTACTCCCGCTTATCGCTACAAACAAGGCTAGGTTCAAGCAGTCACTTATATCTTTAAGAAGCTTCTTACAGACTTACTTTGCTGTTGAAGTTATCTAAGCAATACAATCGAAGAATTTCATATATCTCAGTCGGTTCGTTTGTAGTAAGGATTGGAGGTGAGCGAAAAAAGTTATTAGTAAATCGCTCACAAATAGAGAAAAATAATGTTGAACACACACAAAAGTATATGTTCCACTGCAAGTGCAGCAAAATCGCTACTCAAAAAATATTTTGAAAAGGACGCAGGCTACGTGTACGACAATGAGTATTAGTGTTCGCTCTAAGGATATCATGAGTGAGAAGGTGCCTCAAATTTGAAGTGCTCTAGCAGATTTTACCAAGTTTGGTGCCCTAACTTTTAAATGCCATATTTACTCGAAAGCGCTCCACTTGTAACTAAGGTTGTGACCATGGATGTCCATTAGAATCAAGTCGCAAATTATTCAAATCGTTTTGCGGCTAGTTTGCAAAAATCGAATTATATGGTAATGTAAAGAGGTGGTCCCAAAATTTTTTTAGCAACTCAATTTGGAACTTCCAATTCGAGGAATATAAATGAATGAGGAAGAACCATTTTATGAACCGAAATACATCTCTTCGATTGATATTTAGTGCAAATTTAAAGCATACAAAGTGCAATTCATGACGACGCAAGACGTTTTTTAATAGGCTAAAAAGTATGCGTCGTTCACCGCGAAATTCCTCAGTTACGTGTAGCCTGCTCTCTTTGCCTGAAGGTGTTTGGTGAATATTTTGCAAGTAGGGCTGGGGATGGTTAACCAGCTAATCGGTTAACCGATTTTAGTTGGTTAACGGTTACGATTTATTTTAACCGTTAACTGACATGTCAGGGATAAATCATCTTATAATGTACAATTTCTTCAGAAATGATCAGTCCATCGCAATATTTATCTCCCGTGGTGTGTATTTCAAAAAATAGCATCATTTGTATTGGAAAGGACCCAATAAATGTAAAAAATAGTTGAAATACTAATATTACTTGAATATGAAACGGATTGATAACAATAAATTCATAATCAGTTTTTGGTCAAAATATATTGCTCACGATTTTATTGCGAAAGGGTCAATTTCAACAAGTGCGCAGTAGATGCAGATTTTGTTTGTGATATCTCACAGTACAATTTGCACATCGAACACTAAAAATTTGTCACATAAAAGACATTTAATAACGGAATCGAATCGACCGATTTTCACGACTGCAGTAAATTTTTTCACGATTCGTAGATCTTCTTTATAATGCTTAATATATAACGCAATTATAAATATCAATCAATAGAAAATGCACTTTGCTAATTATAATACAATTATATTGCATTGACAATGGGAAATTACTCAAAACCGCTTTCCGTTGCTAGAAATTATTTTATGCCAAGCAAGATCTGATGTTGAATTTATATTAATTAACACGCTATACGCGTCCGCTATACGTAAAATTTAGTTACTATGATGTGAAATAAAGTGTTATATATAGCGCGAAAGAATGGTCGTCCGGGCATGATCTGATGAAGGATTGGCTATTTTATAAACCAAGTAGGTTTGAGGGGTGTATTATCGAGATGTATTTCTCAGTTGTAAAATTAGTACCAATAACGAAGTAATATAAACAAAAATTGCAATTTATTGAATCTTGGGACAAAAAGCAAAAGCATGTCATTTGGGATCCTCCGCAAAAGCATGTCATTCCTAATTTACTCTTATTGCCGAGTATGGAATATTGCTGGAACGCATACAGTAAGCGTGTCCCACGTATGTTCAAGACTTATTAAATTCTTTTTTCATGGACGGTTGACAAAGTGAGGCAAACTAACTTATCGTTTGCGCATTGCTTCGCTTTTCGAGTGTGACAAATATAAACCACGAAAGGATAATTGACTAATATTCTACGAATATCAGCATATACGAAAATAATATGGCAGAACATCGCCTTTCGTTCGCTCATGAAAAATAATATATAAACTTTCCTCCGACGATTCATAAAACGAGTGGGATATTCATATATAAGAAAGGTTATCAAACCAAATTAGACATCTCATTTACTTTATCCAAACTATAGTTATCTAGTAAAATCTTTATTTTATGAATTTTATATCGTTTCACGTCACCATCATCATTTGAACGGACCCCTCCCTCTCGTCGAAATGTATTTCTCGAGTTGAAAAATTAGTACTGATAAGGAAGGAATGTAAAAAATATTCCACATCGCCAATTGGTTTATGAAAATTGGTCATATAGGCAGTAAAAGTTTCAACAGATCAAGTTCTAAATAAAGTCCGTATTGTGGCCTTTTTATTGTTTACACAATTAGAAGGAACATAGCAAAGATTCTTCGTTTTTGCACATGCTATGAGATGGTAATTTTGACAGGAATTTGAAATAATAATTGTGAGAATTCCTGAATTGAACTGTTGATATATTAATGTTCATCCTCATACAATCTCAGTTTCTTCGCGATCATTTCAATCGTTTTTACATCACGGTTTATCAGGCTTCATAGTCATAACGGGGAAACTACGAATACGAAGCCAGGGACAAACGATACGAATACTTTACGCACAGATACATGAAAATCAACATGTTATTCACAACCCAGACTGCAATTCAGGTGAATCGAACCCAAAATACTCCCGTACAAAGGTATGTCTACTCAAAATATGTTTGAATTCTGCCGAGTGTGGGATATTGATGAAGCGCGCAAAAATGCATGTTCCACCCACGATCAGTGTTTTTTGAGTTACCTCATTCATGCACGTTTGGGGCAACGTAACTGATTGTTTTCGCATTGCTTTCCGGTTGACGTGTTTTTTAAATTAGATGGCTTAAGCATGTTTATAGACCGTGAAGTAAAAACTTTTTTAACAATAAAGTTGGGTAAAATTAACCAATGGTTTACAACAGTGGTTTCCAACCGCCTGTCCGCGAAGCTGTTTTGACGGTCTGCAAGAAATTTTGTTTTGGTATTTTTTTACTGCCTCAATTTATTTACAGAAGCCGAAAAGACGAAGTTACGTTAATTTAATACGCAATTTCTCTTCCGCCGTCACATTGCTGTTTGATAAGTGCGGTGCTAATGGCCCGGCGATGTCTTGGCGCCGAATAATCACACCTTTCGCTTTTTCGGTTCCGATTTATCGCCAAAGCGTTCCGTCAAATCTCGCAAGATTCAGAAACCTGAAAATCCGCATGCGTAATTTTTCCGTTCTGCATGCTTTTTTTGATTAATATTACCATCCGAATAAAAGGTTATGAATATTACCGTACTTTGTTTAAACAAGAAAACAGTCAAGAACATTATTATTTGTGGTCATGATTTGTGACATGTGACTCACAAGACGCGCAACAAAAGTATGAGCCATTGAGATATTTTCTAGATGTTGCACAACAAGATTTTGATCCTGGTGCCAACGTCTTTATCACTGTAATGAATTTTTAGTTTGGGGGTCGATTAACTGCAAATATGATGAACCCGATGAAACCTCTGCTTGTCAGTCTAGATATATAAACAAATAACTGTCACAATTCTTGAGCTTTCCTGATAACGAATACCCATCGCCAAGTAATCCAGCAATTAAACTGTTGTCCGAATTTTCAACCAGTTACTTGTACGAAACAAATTTTCATCACTAGCTTCAATTAAAA